ATCAGGATAAAATAAATGATACAATTGCTTATCTATATAGGAAAAAAATGGATTCAAACCTTCCCTTATAGCCTAAATAAAAATTAATTATAACCATTTTAAATGTCCAAGTTCTAACTATAAAATTTTAAAAGGTAAGGGAAAGAGAGTCTCAATGACTTTGAGGAAAAGTAAAGATGTTTAAAAACAAGACCCCAAAAGAACAGATCATGAAGGCAAAGTTGGATAAATCTGCCTATGTAAAATTTAAGAATTTCAGTTAATCAATCAAAATACATTATTAAGAGAGTAAAAATCAAGCCATAAACAGGAAGAACATATTTGCAACACTTATATTAACAAAAATTAAAATAAAAATAGAGAACACCTGGGATTCAATTAGAAATTTTTTTTTAAAAAAAGAAGATTAATGGACAAAGAATTTGAACAAATATTTCTCAGTAGACAAAACATGAATGACTCCTAAATGTGTGAAATATGCTTAACCTCACTTAGTATTGGACAAAATTATCATTAAAACCACATTGAAATAATATTTCATATCCACTATAGAAGTGAAATTTAAAATGTTAGAAATCCTAGATGTCCAATAAAAGAAGTGGGAAACTGCTAGAGGAAAGGAAAGCTAGAATAAACACTTTGGGAAACAGTTTGGCATCTATCCAGCAGAGTTGAACATATGCATATCCCAGAATTCAACAATTCGACAACTCAATCAATTCCCTGGAGACATTTTTTGCAAATTTGCACCAAGAGGTATGTCATGTACAAGAATGTTCAAAACAACATTTTCTGTAATGAAAACAACCACCACCACCTGAACACAACCCCAATAACCATTAAGAATAGAATGAATAGATAAATTGTGGCATATTCACTGTATGGCAGTGAAAAAGAATTGCAGGGACAGGTATCAACATGAGTGATTTAAAACTGTATGTATATTGTCCAAAGAAAGAAATGACAAGAAAACATACACAGTGCAGTTACATTTATATAAAGTTCAAAGACAAGAGAAACGAAACAGTATATTGATTAGGTATTGAATAGATATGACTTGCAAATTTAGGAAGAAAAGACTTATCACAAATTCAAGATAGTGATTACCTTGGGGGAATGGAAGACAGGTGTGTGATAAGAGAAGGCACAAGGTGGGCTGCCAGGTACTGCACTGGTGTTGGTTCCTTTTCTTAAACTGGAAGGAACTAGAGTGTTCATTTTATCATTATTCTTTAAAAAGCACACATATATTCTACACATTCTTTGTATAACTGTTTTTGTGTATTTTATACATTCGTTTGTGCATAAGAAATATTTTACAATAAAAGTAAATGATTATAGTTAATAATTTTGAAAAATAGTTGCATTTGGTACACTAGCCTTAATAAATGCTACATAAGAATATATTTAGATGTCAAGAACATCATACACAAAATTTTAAAGGCAAACAACTCCTAGGAAATGACTGTAATATGAGAGCCAAAAGGTGACAATAAGCTATTAAAGAACCTTTAGCAATTAAGAAGGAAAACATTCAAACCCATTCAAAGTCAAGTGGGTGAAAGTCAGGAATAAACCATTCACAGAAAAAAAAAAAAATGGCAAAAAAAAAAAAAAAACGCATGGAAAAAATCAACCAGAGTAATTAAAGATTAAAATAAAATACAAATATTTTCTATTAAATCAGCAGAAATTTTAAAATGATATTATTCAATGCAGTTGGAGGTGGGATGAGAGAGGCAATCTTCTAGACTCATGGAAGAATGTAAACTGGTGAATTCTTTCCAGAAAATCACTTTGCCAAATCTATAAAAATATTTTGAAAGTTCATATCATTAACCTAGTAATGCAACTTTTGAGACTTCTAAGGAAGTAGCTTAAGATGTAGACAATGACTTATTATCAAATATTAACTGAAACATTACTTATTTTAGGAAAAAGATAGAAACTTAAATCTCCAAAAAGTAGAGAAATAGTTAAACTTGTTATTACAAATATTTGAGTGAAATATCATCTCACCAATAGGATAATATTTTCAAGTATATTTAATGACAGGAAATTACCCATGACAGACTATAAATGCAGCAAGACATAAAATCTTTATATGCATAACTATACACACATATCTGTATGTGAATATATATTAATACATATACACACATACATATATATATAAGGTTGAAAAGAAATATGGTAAAATATTAACAGTGGTTTCTTCTATTTTATGATCTCATTTCTATTTCCAAATGTTATACAATAAATCTAATTTCTTTTATAATTAGAAAAAATGTAACATTTAGAAACATGCATGCCATAATATGTGATATTGCCACTCTATTATAAGTCTGGATTTTAAAGGCAAAGGATTGATGCATAAATGCATTTTTGGAAGGGATTCGTTTATTTTGCTGAACTCAAATCCTAATGGTGTATGTGGAGCATTCATCTAGGAAAAAGCCTACTTTTGCAGATGGTGCATAAAAGATGTGCTAGAGGATGATGACGATGGCGCTGATAGTAACAATAATAACTGTGACATGTATATAGAGTGTTACAATTTACATTGCACTTTCAGACACATTATCTTTTTCAATCACACGAGTCCACTGAAGAAATGTCACAGCCCAGCACACATACCATCCGTTCAGCCAGCCTCGGCCCAACATATGCTGTTGGGGAATACAAGCAAGCAGAAGATAAGGACATGCTTTCAAGGAGTTTGCAGTCTGGTTATAAAGATAAAACCTGCACCCAATAAATGTTATGTGATGAGACTGAAAATATTAATATATGTGGCTTTTCCAGCTTTCCTCCTCCCCTGCCTGCTAAAGAGAACTTGCTTTCCTTGCTCATTTCATCCCCCTCCTCCACTCGCCAAAGAGAGATCTGCAGTTGCCAGACCATTTCTGTGCTGTAACCAGACCTTTTATTTGGACATTTGTCACCTAGAAATGGAAGAAAGGATGAGATGCAAGAAGTTGTTTGGCAATAGGAAGAGAGCAATTTTAGAGCAACCATGGTGTAATGTATGAGTTAAGGGGATGGGAGCAAAACTGGAATTTCCAGAGGAGATGCAATGTAGAAGATGCACGTCCTCCCTGATGTTTGAGAAACAGTAGTAAATAAGTAGAGTCAACGAGAAATCACGTTTGGCTACCAGACTGTTTCTTTGAACCACCACATTAATCCAATCTAGGTCAGAGTTCAATACTAGAGTAACACTTTGGAGTTGCTTCTACTTAGAGGGGAAGGTACTTTCCAAAGAAACTTGCAAAAAAAAAAAAAAAAACCCTACCAAAGAAATTCCTGCTCTACCTTCACCATGCTACAGCAGTTTCAATATTTGCAACTAGATCTAGTGCAAGGTCGCTGTGGCAGGTAGACTTCTAAGATGGCCCTCGATGATCTCCATCTCCTATATTTGTGCCCTTGTGTAATACTAGTGACTAGCTTCTTTTTAAAAATGTATTATTTATTTTTATTTTTTATCTGTGTATATTCATGGGGTACACGTGCAATTTTGCTACATTGATATACTTGCATTGTGGTGAAGTCAGGGACTTCAGTGCATTCCTCACTGGAGCAACTCACATTGTACCCACCAGGGAACCTCCCATCTTCCACCCTAGTGACTAGCTTCTAATCAATAGATTACAGCAAAGGTGATGAGATGTCAATTCTACAATCAGGTTACAAAAGTCTGTGACTTATACCTTGGTCACACTCTCTATTGCCGTCTTGCCTGCCTAGATGGATGAACAACCACGTAAGCTTGGAAGTAGATCTCACCAAATTGAGCCTTGAGATGACTACAGAGGAGCCCATCCATTGGTGGCAGCTTGTGAGACATCTTGAAAGCAGAGAACTCAACTAAGCTGTGCCCAGACTCTTACCCTCAGAAACGATGAAATAATGTGTGTGTTGTTTTATGCCTCTTAGGCTTTGCAGTAATTTGTTACTCAGCAATAGATGACTAGTACAGTCAGACATTTACCTCTTCTTTTGTTTTGTTCTTTCTCTCAGAAGTTTCTCTTCTCTCCTCCAAATTATCCTGGCCCTCCTCCTAATGTGAGTTCTTCATTTGGATGGCTCAGGCACTGAAGCTGCATATGAAGAACAAAGTGTGGGGCTGAAATGGGTCTCCAAGGTGGAGGAAAATGATGCCTCTGTCGTGTCCATCCACCGAATCCAATGCACATAGCAGAGCAACCACTCATCCCTCAGTGCTCACTATCCACACCTGCTTCCCCATAAGACACAGGGACAAAATGGTTGCAGCTCTAATGTGGTCCTTCTAATCCTGAAACAGGTCAGGTGATGCAGATGGGAGTGGAAATCCAGCACTTCCTTTCAAGATCATTAAAAAGTCACACCCAACCCTGAAAGTATTCATGAAAACGTTCAAGATGCATATAAGGACATTTTAAAGCCATGCCCATCTGATAATTATGCAAAAAAGAATGGACATTGACTGCTGCACATAATATTTCTTTATCTTAGCTGGGCTACCGAGTGCTACCATCTTGGATAGTCCTTTTAACGTGGCCACCACAGCATTTTTTCCGAAGAGCAGGAACAAGTTCTGTGTCTCTAGCCTGTGCTAAGTTGAAAGAGGACAGTAAGTAGTCCAGAAGGGTGAGGTATGAGGATATTTTTTCCCATTCTTCCTCTGGGGCCCTGAGCAGGATGCAAATATACAGTAATGGAAAGAGAACAAGAAAGCCCTGAGGAGAAGGATAGAGGAACTAGATTTTCTGTTTTGTAGTACAACAAATTGCAAATCAGAATTTCCTAAACACCATCTACATCCTTGATGCTGTAGAGAATGCAGATCAAGCAGACAGCATACCCACTGTGTCAAAGAGCTTACAGTCTGTGACAGAGTTAAGATTATAACATAAAAACAAATAATCTGGCATGTTCCTTCTCTTCCACTCCTCCCATTCAATCATGTCCAGGTCCTATCGATTCTACTTGCAAACTCGGATTGTTTCTTACCCCACACCCTCATTGCTCTGCCCTAGTCCAAGCCGTTATCTTCTCTCCCCTGAATGCCACCAGTAACCTCTTGGTAGTACCACTTTCTGCTTCCAATCCACACTTTATATGGTACACAAGTAACAGACTTGTAGCTCTGAAGGATTCTCATGGCACAGAATTGTTAACATGCCCCTAAGTCCCTTCAGGATGTAGCTTTTGCCCCTCCTCTCTCAACCATTCCTGCCACCCTCGCTCACCATAACCCAACCACATTCACCTTCCTTCAGTTCCTTAAGCTCATCAAGCTCTCTCCTGCCCTAAAGCCTTTTGCACTTCTGCTTCTCTTTGCCTGAAACGTTCTATGCCAAACCCCTTTACCAGGTCACTCCCACTCAGTACTCAGCTCTCAACTCTACAATCTTAATCAAGACCCTCTTTCATTGCCTCTTCAATCTACTTTTTCACATCACATCACAATTTGCACCTACACATTCATGCGTGTCTTGAGTTATTTAATGCACACGTTCCTTACTAGATTATAAACTCTATGAGGTCAGGGACCAGATATATTTTGTTCACTGTCTAGCATCAAATAAATGATTGGATGGTGCCCCCACTCTTCAGAATTCTTACAGTTCTTTATATCTACTTGTCATCCAGCATTTTTATTATAGTTACTTTTATGTACTATTATAGTACATGCCTGGTTATGTCTTAAAAAATTCTGAGCTTCTTGAGGACAGAGTCTGTGTCTTATAAATCTTGAAATCCACACTTAGGTCCAACAAGAGCCCTACATATAATTGGCACTAATAAATACGTATCAAATGGATGAAACAACTGAATTGTGCCTTATGAATCACCAGAGATGGTTTCACAGTATTTAATTT